AACCTAGAAAGAAACACCCAATCGATAAGAACAAACGGTGCAGGTACAATTTAAAAACAAGGACAGGCTTCCTTGCGGGCTTTTGAAACTGGGCTGCCGTCCCTTCTTGTACTCCCCATTCGCATTTCGAAGAGAAAGGCTTCTTTGGGAATTTTGAATCTTTGATGTGTGAATTTTCGAGGCTGGTGCCCCAGCTCGTTGTCGGACAATGGGATGCGTACAGGAACAATTAACTTCATTAACCATGTCTAACAAATTATACTACAATTGGCTAAAGTCTGCGCCAATAGGCGTTGTATACATTTGTCTTCCTGCCATTGTTGGCCGCGCGTGTTGAGCTTTGGCCTTGAGATAATTATAGCCAGCGTCCAGCTCGATATGCCTGTTGATGCATGCCTCATCTGACTGCATTGCCTTCAGGAACTCGCGGCCTTTTCTGGTTGGGCAACAGCCAACAATCTGTGTTCTCTCACGCGAATTTGTGACCAGTTTCTAATGTCTGCATGGCCCCCTGGGTTAGGTGGTTTCGTCTTCTGACCGCCAGTTGATGTTTGTGTATGCGGGTTGAGGCAAATTTCTCAGTTTGGTGACAATAAACTGCATCACAACTGGCACACGGGATCTTGTAGACAGCACCTTTTATTTTGGGATAGCCAACCCTGTCCTTAGGGTGTACAAGCTGTGAACGCAAGGTGGTTGCGGGCTGGTGTGCTACTTGTATCTGATATTTTCTTAGTTGTCTGTCAACAAGCTCAGATACGTTTTTCACGTGTGGGAAACTTCTCCAGGTTACTGTTTTAGGAGCCTGGGTTGTATTAGCATTTGAAATGCCTCTTTGTTCGGATTCCTGTCGTTACGTGCACTGACGCACGGAGTTTCTTGGATATCCATTTTAGGAGAATAGTTGAAAGAGGTATTTCATTTCTGAGAGAGATTGGGTGGTTGCTCTGAAAATGTAGGATGAGTTGAACTATTTGCCTATTATAAACCAATTTTATTCCTAGTTTTTTATTTGGACTAAAACAATGAAGTCATTAGCGCACGACGTTATTACCGTTCTGAAAGAAGTCAATTGTTGGCAATTGCAGTTTTCTGTCATTGTGCATTGTTGGTGATCTCCCGGTGTTATGTGGTCAGGGTGCCTAATTTTATTCATAGTAAATAGAGGATGTTTTTGCTAAAAATGTGGGGGTTATATTTTCTTAATAAAGCACATTTATCAGTGCAGATGTACCGTGATGGGGCGCTGACAAACTTTCAGACTCAGATTGAGGTAGAGTGGATAGGTAGACACAACTGTACGCATAAGACTGCATAAAAGACTTATAAGAGCGAATGTTTCCCGGCCATACAGGGCAGTTTAGTCACAAGAAACTACCCCT